TGTACTCTTCTTCTTCTCTCTCTCTCTCTCTCTCTCTCTCTCTCCTCTGGTTCTCTCCCTCGTATATGAGTGTAAAGACTCACGAGATCTGTGCGCAAACTACAAAGCATACACACCGCTATGTCGTTTTTTGTTCTTTTGTTCCATTTTCCAGCATGGCGAAGGCGAATTTAAAACGTGTATAGTGATAATGCTTCGTCTTTTCCTTTCTTTTTGCTTCTCAATACATGTAACGAAGTGATATTGTGTGTAAAATCTTCTCATTTTTAAATATGAATTTTTCTTTTCTCTAAGGAGAATTATACAGTAATAATACAGCGATAGTAAAGAGAGTATAATAGTATTATTAGCAATACTCATAATAGTAAGAGTAGTTGGTGAGGGCTACTTGTAATAGAATAGTTGTAATAGTAATAGCTGATAGATGATAATAATAGAGACAGCCGTAACGGTAAGAGAGTAAAAATAGCAACAGCATGAAAGCATATTGATAATGATGTTAGTGGTCACCCAGAGAAATAGTAGTAACAGAAGCGATAATAAGAGTTTATATAGTAATAATTATAGTAATAACTATAATAATGATGTTAATAATAATAATAATAATAATAATAATAATAATAATAATAATAATAATAATATGACAAATAGTAAAGACAATGATGAACATCATAATCATAATAATAATAATGTGGTGAATAGCTATCGGCCAGAATAATAATTAACGATAGCAATAGGGAATAAAGTTTTGAATGATAGCAATAGCGGCGGTGGTGATAAGAGAGTAGAATGGAGAGATAATTATCATGGTAATGTTAAAAAGAAATAAAATCAGTCAGTTCGTTAAAATGAATAACATTACATTAGTACATAATGTGTCCTGGCGCTTAAAATCAGAGAAATTCCATTTCCGGAAATGGATAACACACAAAAATAATAATATTGCAAACATCGCACAATTAATGTGGTGTACCTTTTTCGTCCCCTTTTTTTTCTTTTTAATATATGTTATACGTTTTTTTTTTTTATCCGCTTCCCGTAAAATTCTATCATATGTGTATACATATATATATTCTTTATATAATACATTTATATAGATGCAGCAATTAGTCAAGGAAAGAATCTATCTTCCTAATAGCATTTGGCTTGCCAAATTCTGTCAGTTTCAATTAAATAGTATAATAATTGCATCGGATATAATAAAAATTNTTTTTTTTTTTTTTTTTAGTTTTTTTAGTTTTTTTTTAGTTTTTTTTAGTTTTTCTTCACGCGTCATTCTGACGTCACAAAACTGAGTTCTTATGGTGTAATGTCTCAAATATTAGACATTTCATTTGGTAGGGCTATTAAAGCGTGAGAATGTGTGCACGTTTGTACGTGCAACTTGTCAGCATTATCACTGCTGGTGGAATCTCTTCATATTCGCAACATGTACGGAAGTCAGTCTAGCCTTCGGCTTTGAAAGAACGGAGCTCGGACATGTATATAATTTTTTTTAACAGGACTTACTGTGTAGATCCAGTCAACGAAAAAAACGAAGAAATTATTAGGCCTCGCCGAAACCACCGATTGCTTGTTCTGTCATTCTTAAACAAAGAGATTCAAGACGAGAGTTAATTTCTGGTTCCGTTGTTTCAGATGCGTTGTTGCTACTTGGACTAAGAAAATGATCCCTTGGTGCACTGTATGTGCGCTGTAATGTTCTTTGTAATTGCTAAAATTAAAGAAAGAAAAAAAGATTATTTTTAACATTTAAATTCTCATTTAAATACGATTTAATTTTATAAAATACATACCTGTAAACTAGATTCTTGTAAACTAGGTCGTTTTTTGGTCGCGTGAACTGGACGTAAAGTATTCTGATTTACACTTTGGTTCTGATTATTTTGTAAATATGGGGTAGATATACTGTTTCTATGAGTGCTAACCACAAAAGAATTGTTTTGCGGGTGTGTATTATGAATGTGTCCTAAGTTTAAACTTGGTTTTCTATTGTGTTGCTGTGGATTACAATACCTTCTATTATTATATCCGTAATTATGTTGCCATCTGAAATTATAATCATGCAAATTTTAATCATATGTCTATTTATTTGTTCTATATCTTAATTATAATTTTTGTAACAGAAAATGATAAATTATTCTTTTTCATTCTTACTTTGGAGTTGGTCGTGGATTTCCAAGTCTACTGCGCCACTGTTGTATTTTTTCTTTTTGATTTGGAGTAAAGCAATCGTGTTGCAATACTTTTTCTAATATGTTAATACAAGCGCATAAAATACCGTCATCTACGCTATCCAGTGCCAATCGACTACACACTAGAAAAAAAAAGAACAATTTATTAAAATATTATTATTATTATTATCCATATTATAAAAATTAAACATCATAAAAATAAATATACTTACATTTACCAAGAACTTTGGTAAATTGAGCAGGTATATCTTGAGGATCATTTTCCTGACTTGGTTTCATAGGTGTAGCTAAAATGGTCTTTAATTCATCAATCGTATTGACCAGAACTGTTGGTCCTTGTAAAAACGAAGCCGATTGTGTATTATCACGCGTTGGTTGCAATAAGTCTTTTTCTAAATTTAAAAGTGTTGTATATCGCTGCTGTAATTTTGCAATAGAAAGGGCTAATTTATGTCTGGCCCCTTTCGTCACACCCTGTTCTGCTAATTGTTCTTCAGTTAATTGTAGCATTTCTTCATAACTAAGAGTGACAAATAAATAACTATATTTATGAAGACGCAAAGTTTTAAGCCACGATGGAACGTCTAAAAGATAAATAGCATATATTACGAACTTTTTTTCTTTTTCATATTGTGAGTGATGAAAATTAATGATAAAAACTGGATTTATATTCATTTACCTCTCATTCCACTAGCTAGCGATCGATTAGATGTTTCATCTAAACGTCCTTCGCTGCCGCTACTTGCACAAGAACTTTGAGGACTCAGTGGGCCTAGTCCAATAAGATTGCCTATTTAAAAATCAAAACAATTATTCAAATAAAATAAAAATATAACTGATATTTTTTCATTTATATAATAACTTTAAATTAAACTAACTTGCATGATCTCCAGATACGCTAAAACTACGTGGCTTGTGTTTAGTTGTGCAATTTACATTATTCGTGCGATCAACAACTTCTAAATGATGAGGAGGAGCGACGGGTGGTGTTAAACTGTTCGATCGGCGCTGACGAGTTACAGGTGGCGGAAATTGTAAATTGAAGGCAGTACCGGGTTGTGTGCCAAACAAATTTGTTTGTTCATTTTGCTGTTTAGAATTTCGCTGCCAAGCATTATCCCATCTAAAATAAAAATAAATAAAATTTGTATAAACGAATATAAATATCATATAAATATTTATAACTTACCTAATAGTAGTATTAGTATACTCTTCAAGACCATGTATTGGTGGTGTACCACTAATACGTTCTTCAAGATGCCGAAGCCACTGTGTTAAAGAACGTCTATCTTGACTAGTTATAGCTGGATGAATCAAACAATAACTTAAAAGTTGTTGAGTTTGTTCAGTATATTGTCCTGTAGTTACACAGTGGCTTACTAATTCTGGTATTGCTACCAAGTAGCATTGTTTGCACTCTATATTCCCAGGCCTTAATAATGGCAAATGTGTTAGAAGTTGATTTATAGCAACTTCAGTTGATTCTGAGAGTAATGAATTAATAAATGCTGCAACAAAGTTTTTAATAAATCACTTGTACTTTTAATTATAAATATGTTTATATTAATCATAAATATTACCTGGATTATTGGCATTTAATTCCTGTGTGTCCAATTCAGAAACAGAGTGCAAGGAATGCTGCACTGCTTGTGCAAGAAACCTTGCTTGAACTGCAGGAATACGACGAAGTAGTGCATATAAAACCACAGTTTGTTCACATTCATTCCATTGTGAGAAAACTCGAGTAAGTTCACCAACTTGTTCGCAGAATAAAGCACCAGGTGACCACTTCATTTTTAATAGTGCTTTAATATTAAGGAGCAGATAGTAGAAGCTCCAATTTCTTTTTGATTATATAGATTATGATTTAATTATGTTCCAACAATATTCAAGCAAAATTAGGATATGCCAGCAGTCTGTAGACAATAAAATTTAATAATATTTATATTTCACATATGTTTATTTACTAATTAATATATAAACATTTCTTACATGCAAATTTAATATATATTAAAAACAATTATTTAGGTATTAAAACAAAATATAATACTTAAAAAATTTTTTAATATACTTTAATTAATTAAATAATTAATACTTTAATTAATTAATTAAAATTTATTAATAAAATATTATATTAATATTAATATAATATATATATATAAATTTTTTTTTATATATATATAAAATTTTTAAATACGAATATATATAATATTTTTAATTAGGAATAAATTTATAACTTATTATTAATATATTATTTATGCACAATAATTAATACATATATATATGTGTAATATATTTTAATTTATTTATTTCGAAAATAGCATAATTAAGTAAAATATATTTTTTAAAAAATGTACATATTTGTTATTAAATTAAATAAGAATTAAATTTTTTTAACTTGATATTTAAGTAAGAAAAAAAGTTATGATTAAAAATTTAATTATTCATTTGATACAATATTTTTTTTAATCGCTCATAATTCCACCATTTAAATTTGATATTATGATATTAATATTTAACATAAATTAACATATCAACTTTCTAGAACAGTGAAAGTATGCAGTAAATAAGTCAAACTTAACATCTAACATTAATTATTTTTACAAAATTATTATACTAGATTATTTGTTTTTATTTAGATATAAAACTAGCTGTATTATATATAAAAACAATTATAATAACTTATTATAATTAAAGACAATTTACAATTCAAATATATTATAGATATTATTTTAATTTCTTTCAAAAAAATATATTTATTCTATTATATGAAATGATTAAATTTTCTTGATTTTCATACATTTAACGAATTTTAGTGACCAACATAACCTCAAAATATCTGTACACATTGCATCGATATGTAGATACATCGATAAGAATTCCACTGAGGTCAAGTTTGTTTACCCCGCGATGCGTGTGTATTTATAGCTTTCCTGTTACGATCCATTCGGCGGTGCAATGGCACCGTGTATGAGACTTTATATGTCTCTAACAACGATTGATAAGATACGATTCTTTTTACAGTCAGAAATAATACGATGATATATAAAAATCTTACTAAGCATCAAAAAAATTTCATGAAATAAAATTAAACATTTCTTAATAAAATTTTATTTTGTATTTTCATAGAATTCTTTGAGTCGCTTTCATCGGTACCGCTGCGTATCTTTGTATGCATGGGATACAGTAGAGGGGACAGGACGAAGAACAAAAAAAGAAAAACAAGAGAATAAAAAAAATCCGTTTATATGCAAATATTAATTCTTCTTCATAATAAAAATATAAAAGTAATCAAATGTTGGAATGCTTGCAAAATGAATAGAAGAAATATTTTATAAGCGTAACGCGAATATATTGCTACTGTGCGACTAGTACTCGGCCATTGAGCCGAACAGCAAACAACAAATTGTACGTTCAAATCGGTCAACGCGCTACGGCTACATAATATAACTACATATTAGTGTAATTACCGTATGCAAGGCTGGAGGTGGCTGCTCCACAAGATCGTTGTGTCCCTTGCAAAATAACAACAATACACAATTATAGCATTTTATACAACGTCGAGTTAAAGGAAACATGTATCCACCATGCGGTATGGTGGGCTTACGTGACCACACTGGTTCGTCGTCGCAACTCGTTACAGAACTTCATCTCTACTATTGGTCTTTATCCGAATAGTAACAACCAATCACGTAACAGTTTAGGGCGCGGTTCATTTGTGTCTCAAATATGTCGATCATTTTATTACCTTTTTTACATGTTTTTAAAATTTACTTAAATTTGCTTCTATTAATAATATATACTTACTTATTTAATATCTATTATAATATATGTTGTGGAATTATAAATATATTATTTATATATTTGTAAATTCACAATTCATTTGAATTTATTTTATTAATTAAATTAATTAAATTATTTTCGAGAAGTATTTTTTTTTCGAATAAAAATTATGATATAATAGTTATTAAAATACTATAATTTTCTAATTAAACTTATTAATAAATGCATTTTATGATTTATTATCATAACTGATAATGATAAAAATATCATTATTATTATTAAATCATAACTCATAATGATTAAAATATGATTATTTATTTATAATAAATGATTCATCATTTATTTTATTGAGATTTATTAATTTTATTGATATATTTATGTATTACAATGTTTTTTATTTATTTAATATTTATTTTTTCTATACAATAAATTCTAATATAAAAGAACAATATCATACTATATATGTATTAAAAGTATTAACACAATAATCGACTGAATCTTTATTTTAAATCAGACTTAACGTGGTATACATGTTTAAATGAAAAATAACTTTAAAAAAATAATAGCTGATCATTAGAAATATGTAATACCATAAAATAAAGTATGTTTTATGTTTACAAAAATATTGAATATTAAATATAAATTATCATACACTTTACAACAATTTTCAATTATTCCAAATGTATGAGGAACACTAAGAAAAAGAACAACTGATTTTACATTGACTATAAAGTATTCTTATCCTATGACGTGCTACTTCTTGTAATGTATTAAATATTATCGCCCATTCCATCGCTTTCTGTGACTAAAGCACGTTCCAGGATGACACGGCCTTCCTTGTATCGTTGATTATCGTCTGTTGCAAATTCATACACCCACCCAAGTTTAGCATCACAGTTTTTGCAGCTGACATCTCGGACCATGTGACGACCCGTCAACATCACTCTATCCTGTACCTCGCTGTGTATCATTGTAGACAAATTAAATTATGAATAGATAATAATTACATAAGATTATTCCATTAGTACGATTTCTCTGAGATTTTGTACATTTATGAATGGTATCCTGTGTGCTAAATAATGTTAAAAAGCTAAATATGCATAAGTAGAAAAATTATATACCTAAGGTAATATATAATCAACATAAAATAAAATTTATTACATATAACATTTAAATGATTAATGATATGATGAAATTATTTTTGTTTGAAATCAATAAATTTTTTTAAAAAGATATATTTTTTATATTTTCTAAAATTTTTAACTTGCAATGTTTTTTTGATATTTTTAATACTTTTAATGATATCTAAATAATATTATTGTTATGAAATATATCAAAACAAAAACGACGCCATGTTGTATCTTTATAATTAATTTTACAAACTATTATATATATTATATTATATTTTTTTTTTCTTTTATATCTACTTATACACATCTTTCTTCAATTAATAGTCAATATTTGTTTCAAATTAATTATCTTTTTTTCCATTTTTTTAGATATATGAAATTATAATATTTCACCTTAATAAATCTTTGTTATTCAAGCGCAAGAATTTTTAAAATATAAAAGTATAAACATAAATTTATTATATATGTGTATATATGTTACTTTGATTAATACTATCTTATTTAATAGAACAAAGGAAAAACGCGAATACCTGTAATTTAAGTTGACGACTTTGTTAAAGAGAAAAGCACGGCCTGTAGCGCCCGTAAAACGCGTGCTTATCAGCTGACCTCTGTTTGTAAGATTAGTGTCACAGGAAGCGCAAGAGAATAAACGAGTACCTCCGATATGTTCCAAGAAAATTACGCCCATCCTGAAATATCGTAAATCGCTTTCCAAGTGTTTATTGTAGAATAAAAACGATTGACAATTCAAGCAATCAGCTTTCGCTTTACACAAACGAGCAAGTCATGTAACTTGACGTAGTTGTCACTACAGTGCGATACATACACTACGCAATAATAGCATCCAACGTTTGAATTTGTCAAGCAGTTTTAATCATGATTCATAGATTTCAAATTTATAGATGGTACGACTTTCATAAAAATTTTAAACTTGTAGATTGGGATTAAAAATATAAAAATTGTAGATGAATTAATTTTAAAAGTTTATTTAAATTTCATAAATGTTATAAATACTGATAGCCAAAACTTTAAAAATTATCAGATAAAGTATAAATAATCGAAAATAAAGCATTTTTTAAAATAATAATCATATAATTTTATATAATTACGATAAATACGATAGTATTTCTAATTCAAATTAAAATGATTGTACATTTAATTTATTTTTGTTATAAATAATTATGAAATGACTTTAATATAATGTTGATAATCTATATATAATTTTATGTAAATTTATACATATTAATAATCATTTATATATTAAAATTGATTATTTTTAAAACTGATAAAAATATAAATATATTGTGAACAATGTAATATGAATTAAATAAAATTTAATTAAGATAGATTTCTGTAACCTTAGCATTAAAAATCACTAAACTGTGAAATGAAATTTATATTTAAATACTTATATATAGTATAAAAGCAATAAAACAGGAATAAAACGGAATAAATAGAATAAATATAATATATTATATAATAAATAGAATAAATATAATATATTTTTGGAAAATGACGAAAATGCCATAAATATATGATTATTAATCAAATATTCGTTTGATTTAAATGCTAATAGAGATCATTATCATTTGCATTTATGTTAAAAATATCCATACTTGGTGCAAAATATTTTTTATATATATATCTTAAAAGAAGTATAAAAAATTAAAAAAATTTTCCTAGAAATAATGATTTTGAATAATAATGTTTCTTTTTTATATAAACGAATTTTAAACAAAATTAATTACTTTCTTTTAGTCTAAAGAATACTTTTTTTAAATAAATAAACACATATATTAAAAAAAATAATTTTTAAAAATAAAATTTGTTATATTATTTTGTATTGTAAAATAAAATAAAAATATATTATAAATAACTTCAAGATTACATCAAAATATTATATCTTTATTATTCATATAAACGGTATACAATATGTTACAAGTATATATATATATATATATAATGTAGATATATATATATATGTATATATATATGTATATATATGTATATATATAATTATATATAATGTTCGCATGATGTATGTGTATGTGTGTATATTTATATATATATACATATATATATAATACATATATATATAATATATATGTTCGTGTAAATTATATTTTTAAAGCTAGGTACATAGATGTTTGTGCAGTAAAATTCGAAACACTTTCCCTTATTTTTTCTTTTATAATTCCAAATATTCGGACGTTGGCTGTAAAAGCCTTACTATAATTATGTACCGTAACCACAATAGAAAATGTGGAAGGTATAAATGTAAAAGCCAAAAACATTTAGAATTACGAAACGAATCGAAAATATATTGTTGGTCATTGTTTAATATCTATGTTCATATCTCTTCAAGGCACATTTGAAATATAATCAGTATACTCATTTCCATATTACAGAGGAATTTACTAACATTAATTGTTCCTATCATTTTACTAATAGTGTCTAGAGTTAGACTTCAATGAATTAAAAAAGTGAGAAAGAAAATGGGAGAAAATCAATAGAAAAATATAAAATATTAAAAACTCCTTTAGCCAAAATCACAGACAAGTCCCTTACTTTCTCAAACAGAGCACAGAATCGCATTTTTCATGGTCTTAATTCTAGAATAATAGTTATATAAATATTATATAAATATACATTCATATATATATATACGTAGTCTTATCAAATTATATACATATACGTATACATACGCTTCCTGATATCAGACATTCTCTAACAATAAAATTTACATTTCTTATTTTGCATACGTGACGTTATTATGTATATTTACATGTACGCACGTACAATATATAAACAGTGGTCTTTCATGTGTATATTGCGTATGTATATATATATATATATACATATACATATATTTATACACATATATTTTGATTATATCCTTTTTTGATATTCAGATCATGAAGGATATCTTCCATAATACTGCACCTATTTCTATGTACATAAAATGTTTACAGAACATAATGAAATACAGATAAAACGTTTGCCGATGATAATAATAAAAATAGTAACAAGTGACTTTGCGTTATTACGTGTTATCGTTACTACATATAGATATGATAAAATGCCCTGCTCATCGGCTTTGTTAAAGTTCACGGTTTTGTTACCGTTTCTTCTTGATCGTTTTTATAATATTTTATATTAGAAAAATTAGTCTGCAAGATCAAATTCTTGCTTCGCCTACATCATTGCATAATATACGCTCACTAACACTCTCTTATTGCATGCACCTTTCCTTCTCTTGAATATTTACCTAGTCAGGTCCTATATGACTACAATACATCCTTTGTTGGAAGTTGCACAAATTTCCCAATGAATATCAATACACGGGCATTTTCAAGTTAGATAAAATGGCTATTATCTGCACTGCAGGTATTTATTAACAAGTATAGAATGCTTGACGTAATATTTTAATAATTACACGCAACTCAAAGTGAAAACTAGAATCTTTCTTCAATATATAATAGTAACAAGGTTATTCATTAACAAACTATACAAAAAACTATATTCCATAAACTACATTTGTGGGACATTTATGCAACATAAAAAAAATATTTTTACACGTTAAGTGACAAAATTATGATAGCAGTCAGTATTAATATTCATATTAATAGCGATTAACGACATAGATATTAACAATAATAACGTAGCATATTTTTGAATAATTAAAAACGTTATTATTTTTTTCTTTAACAGCAATCAAAGCAATTATTTCAATAATTCAGCTAATAAGAAATTATATTAAGAAATAAATGAATAAGATTTTGGTTTACTTAGTACAAGTTTACGTCACGAATGACTGCTAAATACGAAAAATATATATCTTTTATGTATTATTTTTGGTAAGTTTTGTTCTGTTGGCGGCAACTGCTGCAAGACATGCCAGTGCTTCTAAGTCCGGCGATGCACACCACGCTATTAATATTTGTATAATTAATTAATTTGAATTAAATAATTTAAACTTATATAATATTTATAATAATAAAAAACTAAATATAATATTAACTTAATAATTTCAAATATTTTCTCAAGTTTTAAATCAAAATTATTAATAAAAAGTAAAACTTAAGTACATATTAAAACTTTGCAGATTGGAATGCAATTATATGTTATCTAACTCATAAAAATTTTACATGACATAAATCAATGCTTTAATTAATACGAAATTTAATTTCTAAATGAATTTTTTCTTTACAATATTTTTTTACACTTTTATATTTTAAGTTTTTTATATTATATGAAAATATAAATAATCTAAATAAAAAATTTTATGACATAATAACATTCCAATTTGAAAAATTTACAAAGTTTTATTATACATACTTACATTTATTAAGTTCCTCAATTTCAATTTGCTTTGAATCATTTATAGCTGCCGCATTACGTGTAATACTTTGTTTTCGTGCTTTCCTTTTTTGACTTCCAACTAAAAGTTTTTCAACATCTTCTGAATTTTCACGTTCTGTTTGAGATATTATTGAATTGTTTTGACTGTTTGCTTGATCATTGATATCAAAATTATTTTGATATCTTTTATTATTTGAAGTTGATGTTAATTTTTGTGCAATTTTTTTCTTTTTCGTACGTTGTTGTTTCTTCTTTTCCTGAAATTCTTCTAAACTTAAAGATGGTAATGCTTCAATTTTCTTTTCTAAATTAAAATCCCTACATAAAAAAATGAAAATAATACATTTTCATTGTATTATACACAATACACAATATTTTAATATATAACTAATAAAATAAAATTAAACTTACTCAGCTCGAAATCTTTTTCTTGCAGTCCAAGGTCCAAAATCAACTTGTTCTTCTGCATCTTCAGTTTCTGTTTCTTCTGGTTTTGCTGCTTCTACATTTCCTTCAGCACTTTACATAATATTTATATATTATTTTTTTTATTTACACGTATACATAATATAAAAATTAATTATAAACAAATATAAGTCACCTTTCAACAAGATGTTCTAATTCACTACGAGAATTATTTCCACCTTCACTACTCAAAGAATCTGTTTTCTCACTGATATTTGAAGAAATAGAATTTCTTCTTTCATTTGCTTGGCCATCAGTGCTAAATAAATTAATTAAAACATGCTATTAATAATAAATTTACTCTTTGCATATAATATGAATCTAATAAAATGCCTTAATTATTTACCTATAATTTCCAGCTTGCCTTCTTCGTTTAGGCTGCTGTCCAGAGGCACCAACATTTTTCATTTGTTCAGCAAGGAACTTTTGATAACGTAAACCTTTGCATGTTCGTTCAGTTCTAAAATTACTTTCTTCTGAAGGCATGTTTGTAGATAAAAAATTATTTAATTCTGTTTTCTCATCTTCTATATCCTAAATATAATTGTTAATGTTAAAAATATAAAATTTAAAAAAAAACGAAATAAATATTTAATTATTTAATTTAAAAAATTAATTAAGAACATTTTAATTAAAGAGATTTCTTACATATTGATGCACATTATTATTTGATTCAGATTTTTTTCTCTTTTTTACATCAAAAAGATCAGCTTTACATTCTCTCTTATTATCAGGTGAAAAAGGTACATCTAAATATCTTTTTTTAGGAGGTTTTGGAACTTCAGTATCATTTTCAATCACAGAATCATTAATAGTCACTTGTTCATCTGCTACTTGTGTTTTTTGAGGAGTAAACAATGAACTGAGGCCACCTATTTGGGATTCATCAGCTAGTTTGCCTGGTTGAATTGATTGTCCATCTTGTTTGTCAGATTTTGAAGAATCGGAAGACTTATTTTCAGATTTTATATTTTCTATTTGCTCATTAGAATATGTTTCTGCCTTTTTATTGTAGGCCTAGTATTCAAAGTACGTAAAGGAGGTGCTGGTAATTTGTACCATTTAAAATCAGGATTTG